AAAAGGAAGCATTATTTTGTTAGCTAGTTGATGAGGTTAAGATAATATCATATTGCGCAACACAGGGAAATTTGTCCATCAGCATTTTGTTCTCCGTAGAGATGCAATTAAATGAATTGCACATGAGCACTCTGAGTTAAAGCTCTTATCGAGCTCAAGTTTTGTAGAATACGAGTTGAGCTCGAGGACCTCGTACTCAAACTTGAGTATTATAATTATCCAAATAACCTTGACTCGAGCTAAATTCAAGTCAAACTAAGTATAGTTATCCAAATATTCTTACTTCTTTAGTTGAATAGCATCTATAAATAAAATTTTAGCTTAAAGTTAAGCAAAGTTCGAGCAGATAAAATTCTACATGATCTCGAGCAGTATTGAAAAAGATTGAATTTAGCTCGACAAAGTCAATGTTCGAACTCCACTCAGCTCGTTTAGCCTCAACCTCTTCTAATCAATAATATATAGTATTATTTTAGTTAATTATTTAGAGGGACTTAATGTATGTTCAGGGCCTGTACATGTGAAACATTCAACACATAATCTGAAATGCAACTAAATTCAATCAAGCAATTGTCACAAGTAGACATAAATTATCAACTGTTAACAACGGCTTCTCAAGTCCCAATGCTATTTTTCACAATCTCGGTCTAAATTAATTTGGGCTCAAATTTGGGCCTACTAAATCAGAAGCTGATAATATCTATATGGGTTCTACAGTTTTGGGCCTGCTAGAAACTGACCCAAGTATCCAACCCGTGTCACAACTCATAACAAACTAAATAAAGAATATTTTCCAAAATTGATGAACGCTCCGACGTGGCAGCCTTTACGTGGAAGGTCAATTGTCGTTACGTGTGGGGGCTCCACGTTGTAGCAGAGCCACGTGAGAGGCACGTGACGATAAGGAACGAGCTGGTGGGACAATGGGAGATATGGGAGGATATTCTGATACAACTGTTTACACACACAACACATTGTATAAATGCCATTTAATAACTTTTGTTTGGAGGTTTTTGGGCTGGCCCCAAAAGACTATGAAACACCATTTATATATTTTTTATATTTAAAATTAATTATTTTCTCAATTTTGTTATTGTTGTGGAAAAAGTGAGTACGGGAACAACGATATCCAAATTTATTTGGAAGCAATGGAGAAAAAGAAAATGCTGAGTTATAATATAGTATCCGTACTATTACTAGGCTGACCAATAGTTAAACAATTATAATTTTTCAATAAATATATAATATTTTAATACAAACGTGTTATACTTTGAATAACATGGGCAAAGGTATGTTNCATCACATTATCGGGCCACTTTGTTCATTCAATGCACAAAACATTGGATAAGCCATAAAACTGGTCAATACATAGTATATATACAAGTATTTATGTTTTAATACAAATACTTTCAGGCTTCCTCTTATTTATTTAATATTTTTGTAGTAGACAATGTGCACACAACTAGTGAAGTAAATAAAAATTTAATTAAGTGGGCTCAATTGGAAAAAAAAAAAAAATAACTTCCTTCACATGACAATGAACAGAGGTAGCTACAAATTGATGGATGATAAAAGGGAAAAAAGGGCCCACGATTTTCTTAACTTTTCGTCAAAAATATCCCCCATGCAGGAGACAGCTTGACTTACTGTCATCTTCTTCATCATAGTAATTTTTTTTTTTTTTAACTTTAATTTTCACTCCGGTTAAAACAAAGTTACTGCATCACAAAATATCAGAGACCTGCTGACAAGAATAACAAATAATATAATAATAGTATCAATATTAAATGTAGTAATGCAGTGTAGCTCAAATTAGTAATTGCCTGCATGAGTGTGACCCTGCCAAAACCCAACCCTTGTTCCCAAATGGAAACATGTTAAAACAGAAAGGATTAAATTCTAAAACTGATATCTTCTTGAAAAATAATTTACCACTTTATTTCTGGCAATGGTAAGAAAAAATAAAAAATTATTTACCCCCTTTGTTTATGGCAATGGTCAAAGCAGGAAATAGGCATGCAAAGAGGAAATTCAATTCCCAAGGAATGTGTGGAGGTACATTGTTAAATATAGTTATAACTTCTAGGTGAGCAATGGTTCAATTCAGATGGCACGAACCACAAAAAATTGAATTTATAATGAATAGTCGAACCGCAACATAGACAAAAAACGAAGCAAAAAATTTTCAAACTATAACAACCTATATAATTGAACCATATCAAAATGCTCAATTTCGGTTTTGCCTCAATTTTTTTTCCATAGATTTGTATTTAATTTGGTGCAGTTTTCCAAGAAAAAAAAAAAGGAAAATGTGATCAATTTGTGAAAAATAATAACCAACCTGGACCACAGAGTTAAGAACAAATATGATCCGGCAATTCAAGAACACCTAATCGAACTGCACTAGATTACATGATCCGTCTCAATTTTTCAATTTCTATTCGTTTTGCTAAATTAGATAAATTCCTAATGGCTAACCACAAATAGCAATAAAAAATATTAATAATAATAATAACAACGACAACAATGATAATGTGCTGCAGGTAAAATGGATTTTCAAAGACATGAAATTTTGACTAGCCAAAAGGTCAATAATTAACACCTACGTGCTGCGAACTCTATGATAAAAATTGGCTGATAATAAAATCTCCACGTGCCGTGTTATTATCAGTACTTAATCGTAGCTAAAATTAATTCTGCAGCTTATCAAGCTTTTAAGGGCTGCCAAATTTTTCTTGGAACATTTCCTTGTCATTCTTGAAACTCTAAAAAATTAAATTATACAATAAATTCCAATTGGATTGCAAATTATACAATCAGCCGCCGTTGGAGTAGAAAAGGGAGCTCGTCGAAGCACTGGACGAGGTGGTGGGGCCCACACCAGCATTATAAGATCTGTGTCCAAAGCAGTCGAGAGAGATTTTCGGCGGCGAAATAGCCACCGTGACAGAAGACGAAAGCTGGCCGGAATCCGGTGGGGACCCTGCAGAAATAAAATATATATTATTCTACATTTTCCTTTTAATTAATGTTTTTAGTTACGGTACTCTATCTAATGTGTGTTTATGCCCCTATAAAAGTTAATTATTTTAATTTATCATACATTTTTAACTTGTTTAGATATTTTGAGCTTGTAATAAGTTGTTAAACAAATTTTCTATTATTTTTAATACTATGAATATTGTGATGATTCTAAAATTTGATTATTAAAATTGGTTAACACTTACTTGCTAAGCTATCGGAGGAATTAGTTGCATTGTTATCAAGCTGTGGCTTGCTACTGTTTTCTTGATTATTAGTTTGCTGCGATGACTTTCTTCTTCTCCGGTTATGATCGGCGAGCCTTTTCCGGCAACTCCTTTTCCCGTTGTCAAATTCCGACAGCAAATGAAACCTAAAAAAATCAACATTTTTATTTGTGAAATGCAAGCAGATTTCCCAAAAGTTCAAGTTGACTGAAGTCAAACAACAAAACATTTGAAATTTAAAATAATAATAAAAATGAAGAACTAAATATTAAATTAAAAAAAATGAAAGTAAATTCAGGGTCCGCAATTTCTGCGAAGACTTAAATTTTACGGACATAAATGCCCTCGGGATCAGCCCTCGTACAGAAAAAGGCAGTCAAATGATTATTAGATCATTCAACTCCCCCACCAAAGAAGGGCATTTCAGTCAATTAAATGTATATAATCATAATTTTGACTACGAACCTGCTGCACTGCTGGCAAAACCGCTGGGTGAGTCCGGCAGCGATGACGGTGGCGGCCTTGGAGTGGAACTCACACACCTTGTGGCGGCGGTGGTAGTGCTTGGCGTGGCTCAGGTCCGCGTGGCAGCCCTCGGCCTGGCACCTGGGCGAGTTGCCCGAACCGGAGTCGAGGATCCTGGACCGGCGGTAGAGCCGGTTCACGAAGTCGTCCTCCGACGAGGCGAAGTAGGTCCGGCCGCCGAGGTTCAGCCCGATCCTGCTGCTGTACTCCACGGCGTTGAACTCCAGCCCGCCCCCGACCACCGCCGGCTCGGTTTTCGGGACCACCAAGAATCCGTTCGGCCCGGCCGGCTCGAGGGTCAGCATCGGCGGCGGCTGGTGGTGGGAGTAGGAGGTGGCGGACGCGCCGTAGGTGGCGCGTGGGTCGTAGAATGGGGTGGTGAATTGGGGGTTTGGGTTCTGCGGTGGGGGGAAAGGGAGGTGGCCGCCGCAGACGCCACCTCCGGCGGCGACGAAGTGGGTTTCCGTGTTGATGATGGCGGCGGCGGTTTCCGGGAAGTTTTGGGCGGCGTAAGGGTTGAAGACGTGGCGGGTCGGCTCGGGATCGTGGGGGCTATCGTCGCCGGAGAGCATGATCGGCGGCGGGTTTCCCCAAGCGTAGTCCAACATACCCTTCGAATTACTTATTTATTAATTTTTGGTATAAATTATATAAACAATGAAAAAGGAGAAAATGAGACGAAAAGAGCACACCACTCTCAATTTTTTGTCTGTTTACCCTCTTTCAAAAGGAAGGGCATTGAAAGGCACAAAGAGAAATATGCTTCAACATCTGCATATAATGTCTGAAATCAAGACAGAATTTTATAGAAGGGAAAGAGAAGTTTGTGGAGTGTACTGAGAAAAGGCTGTTAAAAGACTCTCTCTCTCTCTCTCTCTTAGTGTGTGTGTGTGTGGCTTTAGCTACTATATATGTCGTAGAAAAGATGCTTTCTTTTTTAGTTTTGAAGCTTTTGTGCTAATTTCAGTGGATTTTAAGGAACAATACAAATGTTTTTTGGTTTTATGGTTTTCTTGAATTGGGGTTTTGTTTGAACAGGTGTTGTAATTTTAAGAGGGAAAGGATAATTAGTGCGTGTGGTGTTGTGAGAGAGAACTTGATCAGCTTCATGGTAGTGTGGAACTCATGAAGCTATAGAGAGATATATAGACCTATAGTGCAGTAATCAAAACTCTATCTATGGTGATAAAGTTATACTATTTATGGCAGCTAGCTAATATAATTGTTCCTTTTTGCCTTTCTTCATTAATCTATGTTACTACATAAAAGTACTTTCATCACTTTAGCGGCTCGTGAAGTTGAGTCATTAAAACTTGAGAATAAGAGATTTTATGTATTTTTTTGAAGCTTTATTTTAACTGATCATCTAGTTGTGACTTATGTTTCACTCGTTAATATTGATAAATAAGTCAAACTTGAGCTCGAACCCGTTTAACTGTACTGCTTTGCTCGATAAAGATTGAACCCAATCTCGAGTATCAAAAGATCTGCCTCGTATAAAGCTATAGTCTATTTTAGGTGTGTGTTTGAGATAGAGAGAGAAACATGGAAAATGCTGATTTGTGTGTGTATGAACTATGAAGCAGCTTTGGCCAGAGATAGGGCTGTCTCTAACGTTGTGCTACTTATTAAATGCACTTACTGTTTTTTTACCCAACACTGACTTGTTAAATTTGCATTGAAGCCCTTTGTTTTTTCTGTGCTCTTTGTTTTGGCTCGTTGATAATCATATATATTAGTAGTAGTTATTGCACATCTTGTTTAAGTCTTCTTAAGCTCACAATTTAATCATCGTTTCAACTAAATCTCTCATGTTGATTTTTAATATACGATCCCAGTAATTACGCTTGAATTAAGAGACAAATCTCGTTTAAGTGTTGTTATATTTAGTTCATTCTCTGCTTGATTGCTAATCAAGCGGGCATGGCTAGATATGATATATCTGCATATGATGAAATGAATTATTATTGCTAAAATATATCGAATTTAGCTAGTGTGGTCACTCCATGTTTTAGGTTTGACTCTAAATTGAAAATATCATTTTTAAAGTTAAGAATATATTTTAGTATTAGTTACTAAATGTGAATAATGTCTTATCGTATTCAATATTTTTAGATAACGAAAACNGAAAAAAAAAAAAAAAGAGAAAAAAATAGAGGAAATTAAAATGGGGACAATTGTTAAGGTATTTACTGTACTTCAATTTTGACTCTGTCGAAAACAAAAATGCAAACAAACAAAGTTTCTTTTCCAATTTCGATTTTGATCTGCTCTCTACTTTATGAGGTTTGTTGCCTCTAGTCAAAGTTCAATTCCTTGCCTGAAACTGGTAGAAACATATTAATCATTCATAATTTATTTTCACTTAATGTAGTATTGGCTATATATGTATGAAAAACTTTTCAAACAAGTGAATCAACAACTCAAAATTATGTGCAATATTCTTAGTAATTGCAGCTTTTTGGCATCATGACCAGTATGAAGATATTAAAGTAGAGAGCTAATTTTATGTTTATTGTTGATAGATGGTAGTAGTACAAAAATTTATTTCTTTTTAAAATGCAGAAAAAATGTGAAAAATGTGTTGCAATAGTAATAAATCACAACATATTGTCAGCTAAAATATGAAAATATTAGTATTTGAAAATTTAACATCAATTGTAGGCGAGGATCAAATAATTTCTTTTATAGATATGTATCATTTCTACGTGATTAGATGCTCAAATATCTAATTTTTTTAATAGATAACGGACCCAAAGAATGATATTTAGGAGAACTAAAAAAAATTAAAGTCATTTAAATGACTAGAAACCAATTTTTGCCCGAATATCTGAAAGCCACGGAACTGACTTTAGACTTATTATGTAATGGGAATTATTGGGCAATAATACCAATATAATGTGGTATTTTTCATGGTTCACTGAAATTAACAGCAATTAAAAATTTTAACCTCATTTTACAAAACAAAATCCATACATAACGCAATTAAAAATTTTAACCTCATTTTACAAAACAAAATCCATACATAACGCGACCGTATGGCTGAAATATGTTGTTGCAACTTGTAACACAGCCTATACAGCACCATTATTAGAAAAGACATAATAATTGCATGTAATTGAAATCAAAATAATTAAATTCGTAAAAGTTCGAGCCCCAAAGCTTCTAATAATTAATAAATTGGTGACCAACGGATAATTTGTCGAATTTTACCTTGCAATTTGGTGTAAACTTGCCTCTCTCCACGCGTAATATTAGCGCGTGGTCTCACTTCGTGCAATCGATGACATTTATTCGAAGGGACTTTTGTATGGGTTGCATATCACTTTGCCAGTTGACAACCGACATCAATTTCAATTTTGCCTAATATTTAAACTAGTATTAATATCTATGAAGCAATGATTGTTTTCTAATTATTTAAGGACAAAGATTACTAATTGATTGTTTTTAAATCAAATGAATTCCACTTTCTTCCTCTATTATTCATGTTTCCAGAAAATCATTGTCCATGAAAAAGCAGAAAAGAGTTTATCGAAGAAGCCCTCAAATAGAGTTGCCTGAGAATAAAGCGGCTTGAGTCGGATGCTCGAGTTTGACCGAGCTCGAACACATCGAATTCAAAGTCGAGTAGCTTATAAGTTTAAATGCTTAGAGAGCAGCTCAAATATATATAAACTAGTGTATATCCCGTGCGATGCACGTAGGAGCTCATATTTTAAATTTTTTTAAGTTTTATTTTAAATATAATTACTTATATTTTTCACATCTCGTCTATTATGAAAATAACATAAATACAAATAATGAAAAATATATATTATTAAACACTTCTCTTTATACAATATTTTTTTAAGTAATATTATTAAACCTTACGGTTTTGATTTTATATTTTTTAAAAGTCAATTATCTCCACAAGAATAATCATACCATTTTAATTTCAAAAAAATTGGCAAGTTTGTTAGAGAGATAAATCCAATTAGATAAATGATTAATTAGTTAAGATATTATATTAATTGTATCATAAAAAATCGGTTAGATAATGTAGATAAAAAAATATAATATTAATTAGTTTGTTAGGAATGTGATTATATGAAAATCAAGATAAAATGAAATTTACCCAAAAAATTTTGTTTAGGATCTTTTTCTTTATGTTTGAATTTAATACCGAATTTCGATTATATCACAGGAAAAAATAAATAATAAATATTTATTAATATAATAAAACATGTAATTTTGAATTTCATATAAAGTAAATGTATAATAATTCAAATTTATTTTTAAAATAAAAGCTATGATAAACATTTATTTGTTATCTATAAAATTTTTATTTTTTATTATTCTAATGATTTATACATTAAAGTGAACTTAGGTACGGTATGATTTAATTCATTTGAGGTTGTATCATTTGAGGTTGTATCTACCGCATTCCGTCCGCACAAACATGTTATAGAAGGATTAACTCAAAAACTTAATTTGACAAAATAAATTACAAATTCATTTCCTGTTTTAACGGATAGATTATCTCCAAATAAAAAAAAAAAAAAGGAAGTCAAATATATTGCTAAAATAAAAATCTGTTTTCCAAATGAAAAGGATCTTGAATTTATCGGATATGGAAGAAATCTCATCCAAAATATATTGAACTCATCCAAATTACAGAATTTCGGAATGAAAAAAAATTCAAACTTCTGAAAAAATTTCAAACAAAATATTAGGGGGAAAAAATGATTTGAGCAGTAAAATGAAATAATTTTTCAAACATTTTTTCTTCTCTCTATTATATAGTAATAGATTTAACTAAATTAGATATTTTTTAACTAAAATTTCAAGTCAAACTGGAGCAAATTCGATTTAATCTAGAGCATTATCTTTTTTTTTTCAAGTTGACCCAAACCTAAAAATGTTCTAACTCGTCAAGTTCCAACTCCAACAGCAGCCAACAAAGAAAAGTCGAAACTGGATCAATAAAACCAATGCTTGACTCGACTGTCGCTTATTTGAAGGGAGGGGTAAAATTATAATAAATGAAAATCGGAGAAGAACTATGAGACCTCAAAGACAAAGAACTACAGGTACATTACAACTCGCTTTTTCTGAATACATAGAATTATGCAAAGTACCATTTTTTTACGACATTAGACAGATGGAATATTATTTTCAGATTTTTTCTATAAAATAATGCAGACAAAGTGTTTATCTGAAATTGTACAAAGACCACAAGAAGAAGACATAAAAGGAGATACGATCTCATACCCACGACGTACGATGTATATTAATTTTTGTCTTCTTCTATAGTTCTGTAATATACTGTGAAGGCATTTTGTACTAAGATACGGATTATACTGAGAGATTGATTTTGTGGGGGAAAATAAAGAAAATGAAAAGAAAAGTCAAGAAAAGGCCAAAAATGGGAATAATGTACATTAGCATATGACTGTCAATTATTGGTAAGTGGTAACCCATAAGCGAGGGAGAGCGTGGACATGCGATTTGTTTATTTTATATTTTCTTCTCTCTTTTTATTGTTGTTGTTACTATTATTATTATTATTATTATTATTATTATTATTATTATTATTATTATTATTATTATTGTGTTTAAGGGTGAGCACACAACTACGAAAATTGGCATTGATATTATTGGGAGTTCGGTGTGGAGAGTGGGGACTGGCATTTGGTGGGTAAAGGCTGACACGGACGTTGACTATTTTGTGTTCGGAATTTTTCTAAAAGGTCAGATAAGAACCGTGACTATAGTTTTTTTTTTTTTCTATTTTTTCTATTAAAAAAATGTACTATTCATATATTTCTGAATTATGATAGTTATTTCTTGTGAAGATTTGTCTGTTTTGGGTGTAAGAAAATGTTACACCCCACATCAATAATAATTGAATATTATTTAATTTGATCCACAGTAATAAGTTACAAGGATCAAGTGACTGTAAAAAGAGGGAGGACTAAGGTGGGAAAAAAATATCTAATATGCCTGTCTTAATTTTTTCCATCGTAAATGTGTATATAAAGGTGAAATGGGGATATTAATTGAGGTGTTCATTGGCATTGATTTTATTCTCAACAAGAGCCAAGTGTCAATTGGAAGGAGTATAGTATACATTGCTTGTTTAGGTACAAACCAAACAAATTTTGTTATGACATGTAATCTATTTATAGTGTACACACTATGCAGTATGCACAATTATTCAAGCAAAAACTTTATGACCAATACATTAGCTAGTAGCAGAAGAGAATAGAAAAAACTCGATCTTTTTGTTATAGTTACGAATCCAATTATGTCCCGACTTACAATAGTTTTACCTATGTGCCAAAATTGATCAACTGTTAGCATAGGTTTTGAGATTTTGAATAGGTAGCAAAGTGAACAAGGCCCTCCAAGATTTTTTTGATGTTCACATTCAAATGCTCAGAAGTAATCAATGAAAGGGGCCAGGGAGAGGTTGTCTGTTGGTGAACAGAATGAATGGAAAAGGGTGGGCAGAGAACTTTTGTGGCACATATTTTGACACAACTTCTATGGAGTATTCCTTTTTTTTTTTCTTTTTTTTTCTTCATCAATTATACGTGAGAATGACTATGACTACATAATATAAAATATTCACTGCCACTCCTAGGCTACAACAATAATATTCATCCATCCTTTTATTACCTAGTTTTCCAACACATGATAGAGGACCCCACTACACTAACTTGCTTTATTATATTTTATTTTATTTTTTGGTTTTCTAAATCTTGATGATACATTCAATCATTTGGGTATAAAACTCCTTACAAGATAGGAAAAAAAACGATAGGTTAGACTCCGTCCAAACAAAAGAGGCCTTGACATGAATTGATTCAAGAAATTTTGTGAAACCTCAAATTCGGGAAGCAAACCGATTTACGAAAAACCATGAAAAATTGACAATTATTCATTATTTTTTTCAATATAATACATTCTATATTTTTCGTAACATCTAAATCAGTAAGTCGATTGTTAAACCAATCAGGTGTAGGTAAAGCTATAACAATTATCTTACACAACAACCAGACTTTTTATAGTAATTTGTATTCATTGTTGGACTATCTTGCATTATAGGTCTTCCAGGAACCCTAACCAAAAATAAATAAATAAATAAATAAATAAAATAAAGAACCATAGGAATTAGGAAGAATTGGTTCCATGTCTGTAACCACAACTATTTATTGAAAATGAACATTCACGAATGCAAACAAATGATGCAACAAACAATGAGAGTTCAGGAAAAGAAATTGTCAGAAGATAGCAACATCTTGCACATGTTCAGTCTTACTCATTAGTTTGAGCACAAACATGGTGAAGAGGATTTCTTCAATAATTTTCTCTTCTTTTTTACTTATTTCATACACAACATCAAAACTCAAATGCAAGATGTTCACATGCAAATGCTCCGAAAAGTCCTATTCATCAACAGCAACATATACTAGGAAAAATAAAATATTCATATGTTATAAGAAATTGAGGGTTATAATTTTTCCTATATCACAAGGACAAAGATAATCTATTTGTACACCAGTATTCTCCACATTGTACTATAAATGTTAGAGCATTATATTATGTTGAAACTATTTAAACATAAATGTTAGGGGTACAAATCTTTTTTCCTCACTGTCCTGTATTTTTTTTGTTCAATCGTTATCTTGTATGCAAAATATAAAGGAATTTATATATTAGCACACATGTTATTAGGCTACTGGTTGTTGACTATTAATTATTGAACTACCAGATAACCAGGATCCTTTTCTATTTAGTAAAACCACAATAAATACATAACTCCTGCCAGATAATAATATTATCAAACATGGAGTCCGCCTTAATAATTGCACACCATTGAGATATTACCTTTTATTAACAACCAATTAATAAAGTAATTGACCTGAACACCTAACATTTTCCATCAACATCCCAAAACCCTAATCATGAAAGTAATGACAGGGATAATACAATAGTTATGGGGTCATTTCTAAGTTCAATCCTTCCACCCAGGTTAATCAAGCTCTAATCATACTGCATATTTACACTAAACGCATCTTGATAAAATTAATCATGTGCGCAAATCGCAATCAGCAGAATTGAAGAGTGCTCTACAATTTATAAGTGGTCCGATTTTTCTGACCTGTGATGCTCTCAAAGTAAACCAGCAACTCCCACTAGATACATGAAATAAATGAAGTGTAAAAGATATGATTATTATTAAATCTAGAGGAGTACATTCTATAATTCACTCTATGCTATCCAACAGAAATGCTAAATGCACAATACCTAATTGAGATTGGAAAATCTTTGGCATGCAAGTAATTCTCTTCAAATTCAATGACTGCTATCAGGAAAACATCTCTCTCTCTCTCTCTCTCTCTCTCTTTTTTTTTTTTTTTTTTTTTTNTTTAACAACATGATACCATCACACCAACATGGTTTCAAACATCCGGACTATGAATCAAAACACATAATAAACATAATTATGAATCAAATATCTGATAAGATGGGTGAGCCCCATCTCAAGTCATAATTGAGCAAGCTCCATAATGCCAAAATTATTTAATCTAGAATTAATTAATTCGAGTCTACCCTTAATGTAAAGATGGAACTGAAATCTCCCCCTTACCATAACATGTTTGTGCTCGATTGGTGAAAGTCCAACCTCAGAGGGCAGCTTTCATCATAGAGGGGAAGCTTCTTCAGTCGCTGTCTTTCCTATTCAATTGCTTGTTCAGTCATTTTCATCAGGCATTCAAAAACCTGCATCAATGAAAGAAACAATTCAGTCACGCCTTTGGTTTACAGATCATAAGCAATTGCTTTCGTGGGCATATAAAGGTCAGGAGGTGCAAGAAAAGTAGGAGCAAACAAGGAAAAAAAAGTTGTGAAAACTCAAAACATAAATAGTTCAAGTAAACGGCATGAAAACAATTCGCATATTATTCATTTTACATGGTTTTAATTGAGTCCTATAACGGAAATTTCCGCTTAAGAACATGAATGTACAAATAAATACTGGCGAAAATGGTACTTGGGAAGCTTAGTTGGGAATTTGGTGAGATAATTGCTCTGGCAGATGGAATACGCGTAATAAGAGAAACGATAAAATGTGAAGAGAGAAACACAAAAAGATCAGATTGCCTTGAAGCCGCAGCATGAGGTGTCTAAATATGACATCTCAAAAGTTGGCAAACCATTGAGAATATCACCAATTTAACAAGTTCAGTGAATCTCAGAAACAAAAGAATACAAGTCGTGTTTTGTCATGCTGGAAGCCGGAGCACCTTAAGAAAGTACCAACGAGCCTGATAGAAGTTTCTATTTACGTTCTCTTCCTTAAACAAGCATTCCCAAGCTAAAATAAAATTTAAGAGGCAATGAACTAGACCCAAATTTATTGGTTCCATCATGTCACTTGCCTCTTGGTTCTCTAATGATATTAAGCCCGCAAACAAAATAAAGGCAAGTGAAAGACAAAAACAACAGTATATAAACATAGCCTCAACAATTAGAATTTCATGTGATATATCCAACAATATAGGTGTCAGGAAAAATGCTACTCGTACACAGATATTTGTCATAACAGTTGACATAAAATGTTGTGCAAGTGTTTGGATAGTTGCTATTTAAGATGATGTGAAGGGTAAGCAACAAGATCCTGCTATGTGCATATTATGTCAAAGTGCATTCATTACGTATATCTAGCATGACTCTCGAACGTAGTGTGTATACAATGGTGGAAGTTTCACTTCAGATAAAAACAGAGAACAATTAATACTGACATCAGTTTCTCTCATTTCCTGAGGTTGGTATAGAGATCTTATTTGTGTTCCTTGATTTAACAAGATTACATGCATAGGAAAGAGAAGAGATACATCAATACCATACTGTTAATACCCTGAGTGATATGATTCCCGCAAACTACAACGTATCAATCTCTCCCCTCAAGCCTGAATTAAACAACCAATGATGGAATGTGATCTCAAATCAATATTAATAAAATAAATAAAACCTGAGCAACAATCTAAAAATTTTCTTCAGCATGTAGAAAACGCACTTTGTTTTGTCAGTTAAGGTCACCATAGATCTCAGCACACCAGGACTGATCTTGTCAGCTAGAGCACCTTTTTCTGAAATCAAGAAGGATTTCTCTTTCACGTAGCTCTGGAGTTTCTTGGAATCAAAATCCAGGCGTGCTTGATCTAAAAAAATTTTCAATACGATCTATAAGCAATAATAGGATCAGAACTCAACCTAGGTGGAATATGTGTGTGTAGAAAAATATGTTGTATATTGTAGCCAATGAACCGTTTGAATTACTTCAAATGTGATTCTATATAAAAACATAGGCAGGAAAACAAATTCAGGGACGTTGATTGTATTGAATACTGGGATGCATTTCATGTGAACTTCTACTAGTAGTTGTCTATAGAAATGAAGTGTATATATATAAGGTCGAGTTGATTATAATTGAAAGATCACAATCCAGATGGAATTTATTTCGTTTGACCTCAAGCGAACAAGATGATGCAACCAAGTGCAACCTAGAGGAAAATAGCCTTTCCATCAATTAGCACAGTTTTGCATTCCAGTGGTTTTTTAACCTTCCCCTTATAATGTGGCATGCTGATACAATTTTACAACCTCAGGTTACAAAAAATCCATCGTCCCATTCAACCAACTTAATTTTGCTACTTCTTATTTGGGCTTTCATCAGTGAGATCAAATCTAAAATTGCTCTGCACATGTTAATTAATCTCAAGATTTGCAGACTATTGACATGTTCACATCATTAATAAAAGTAAAAAAAAAAAAAAAAATCCTTCTCCTTCGGCAAATTACTAATTGGTTGATAAGACAAATCCAGACTTAGATTCTGCCATTGTCACCATTCTAATTCAACAAAAAACAATAGTAGAATGAAAAGAGAAGAGATGCACCTTTCTCCAATATGGTATGAGCAGCATGAAACGGTATGCTTGCAAACAAATCAGTTCCTGGGAACATTAATAATGTCTTCTCCCTGGAATTGTGATCACCACAAGTTGTACAGACCTCTTTCACTAGTGGCCTCGAATCCACATCCCTCATTATCGACTCAAAAGGCAAAGGGACACTGGTTTTAGTCGTCCTGGCCCTCTTTCTTAGTGCTGTTAAAGCTTCCCTGTTCCCATTCCTCAGTCGGTCAATTTCAACTAACTGCAGTCACAAATATGAGCAAGTCAGCTTATCTTCAATGACAGGAAAATGAAACATAACATCCATTATTAGTTCCAACTACCTCATGCCGTGCCAACAAAAGATTTTCAGCTTCGATTTCAACCTCAACAAGTCCTTGTTGGAATTGCTTCATCGACTCGTTCATTGTGTCCCAACTCCTAATTGATATAATAAGTTTGACTGTTACAAAGCACCGGAGAGAACTGACTGTGTCAGTGCAGGTTGTCAAGCAAGCACTTCCAACCCACACTTGTTTAAACGAAAATTCTAAGAAAAAGGACATTAAGTGACTGTAGAGAAAATTCTCAAAGTAGTTTGGTCAGTTAGAAGAACAATGATATTTCTGAAAACGTGGAATAGGGGGGTTTTGCACTAGTCCATAACATCGAACTAAGTTTGTAAGAACAAAGCACTACAGGTAAACTTCTACTTACTTACAAACCCAAATAGTTCTCACCAAAACTATTGGGTGAATTTTTATGCCAACAGATAGTTGAGAAATTCTTATGCCAGCAGAAAGACAATAGACTGAGCTACAACATTCGTGAGGACACCAGAAACAGCTGGATTACGAAGGTCAAAAAGAGCATGCAAAGTCGGTGCACGGCACATGTATGAATACGATTCTAAAATGTACGACCACAGGATTATTGAAATTCTCAAACAGACACTCGTGAGCATTCAGCACTATCATTTCAGTTCCCAAATTCACAGCCACTATGTATCACGCACATACATACACACAGCCCGTACACCTCACAACCGAACTCAGAAATTTCAAAATTACCGACGTGATCCTAGGGACAAGAGTTTTCACGCGGTAAAAGTTCTATAGCATTCTGGTAGTCCGAAGGCCGGGGATATGAATTCTACGAGTCACAAAGACCAATTTAACATGTAATTACGATGTCTTTACCAGAAAATCGGCGGCTGGTTGTCCGAGGAAGAAATTGAATATGAGGGTGATTGAACGGGTCGTGCGCTCGTGTATGCTGGTTCCTTAAATTTCTGGAGCCTGGAAGGCATTCATTTCAAAACTATTTGAAAATAATCGAAACGAGTTGAGCAGGTTGCTTACGAGATTTCGAAACTCACCAGTCGGTGGCTCACGGAATTGATTGTTGACTTGAGCACGGATAATTGAAATCTACAGTTCTCAGCAACCTCCGGTGAGAACACGTGATCGGATAAGAAAGTGTTGTCAGGGAGGTCTACGGTGGAGTAAGCGGCGGCGCAGTGGAGCTGAGTCAGAGTGGGATGAGCTCGAGAAGGCGGGTGCAGGGTTCGTTTAGCTGGGTCTAATTTTAGACATATACATGGACTTAAGTCTTTAGATGACGTAGATAAACCAAAGTAAAAAAACTCAAAAGTTATTCAATGCAAAAAATAAAATACTAGATCTGGCATACATGCCAACTAATAAAAATGCTCTAATATGTTTTGTTTATTAAAAGAAAAATTAAATTAGGAATAAATGATGAGTGTTTGAGTTTGTACTTGAGTCCAAAATTGACCCAAGTGTAGACTTAGTCTCTTTTTCTTATTGTCACATAAGATAGACTAGGTCCACTTTTAATTGCATTATGAAACATTTTTTTATAGACTAAGTCTATTTCCCACATGACATGTGATTTTTTTGTAAGAGACCCAAAACATTATGGGTGCTCTTAAGAAGTTAGTGCTTCCCGAAGATTTTGTTTAATTTAAGTGAAAATTAAGCTTTCCCTACTGAATAATGCCCACCTTTTTTTTATGAGTAATGTTATAAGTATATAATACTCTACATAGAGGTGTACATAACATTCACATTAATTAGGTCCTATCAAAAATAAAAAATCAAGTGGACCCCACTCTATATCAGTGTTATTTACACCTCTATGTACATTTATTATGTACTTGTGGTATTTTTTTTTTTTTCAGTTTGCCTACCGAACTTCTAAAATAACTACACTTAACGACTTTCGACAAGGACAGGGCAATTACTAGGGCAAAAACCACCTTTCAGGTATTAATTTTAGACAAACTTTTCATTGTACTATATAGGGCTGCAAATGTGTCGAGCGGCTCACGCTCGAGTCAAAGCTCGACTCGAGCTCGAGTTTGACCGAACTCAAGTCGAGCTCGAGCCCATATTTTACATTGTCGAGCGGTTTAAGATTATGTTAAATTACTAAAATACCTCTTATATATATATTTAAACAGTATAACACAAGTGCTTAATGGTAATTTTATGTTTCCACTTAAAAATTTTCGTACCGAACTCGAGCCGAGCTCGAGCCTCATAAATCGAGTTCGAGCAGCTAAAAAAAAAATCCAATTCTCCTCGATAACGCCAATGCTCGACTCGGCTCGGCTCGTTTGCAGCCCTAGTACTATACCAAACCTCTCATGGTCTCTTATATACTTCAACGAGGAATCCAAAAATCCAATTTAGGGTTACGGCCACATGAGGGAGAAGAAGAAAATTTCGAGTAGAAATAGACTACTTCGAAGAAAAAAATGAGAAAATATGGAAGCAAACTTCCGAGGTAATTTTGGATGAGTATTGTAGTTGTGGAAAGAGGATTGTGATGGTCACTTCTTGGACGGACAACAATCTCGGAAGGCGATACGCAACGTGCAAGGAAAATATATTAGAACGGATATGTTGATCCAACACTATTTCAATAAATATATATATATATATATATATATTTAATTTTATTTTTTTAAATCCAATTGCAGTGGTCGGTGGATTGATTTGATGGTGCATTGATTTGATGTGTTCTGGAATGGTTGCAAATATTGTATGGATTGACCCTCCAATGTGTCCAAGAACTCGACAAATCATACCTCGACTTATGAGACACAAGAACTCGAAAAATCATACCTAGACTTCTGAGATACATTAATTTGGCTGAAATTTAATTGGCAAGCAATAACAAACGAACGAAGTTGGTGTGGTCTGTTGTTTGTCCCATTTTTGTTGCTATTTTTTGTATGTTTTGCGTGTATTTTTCCCCATTTTAGGTCGTTTCTTAGGTGTTACCGGTCCGTTTAGTTGTTTCTCGTGTTTTATCTTTATTTTGGTATGTCTAGAATTTTCTTTGCTTTTCTCTCCACTTTCCTTGATTTTCGTGTTTTTTTCCGGTTTCGTTGGTTTCAGGTCGTTCCGCCAGTTCATGCGACCAAATATGCAGAGGTCGAGTTTTCAGCTCGGACAGTACCCGAGCAACGCGAGCCGAAGGAAAGCAACTTTTGGACCTCCCAGGGCCTTAGCGCCGCTAAGGTTAATAAGGCTAGCGGCGCTACCTTTCTTACCGATAGCTGGTCCAAACAGCTAAGATACCTTAGCGGCGCTAAGGCACCTTTGCGCCGCTAAGGTCTGTTTTGTAACAACCGCGATTTTCTTGGATTTTGAAATGTGGGAGGATAATATCGGGCCTAGGGCATGTTTTTGAACATCTCAGACTTTGTATTTCGTATTTTCACTCCAAAAACTGTTTTTTCACTTAGTTTTCATTGGATTTTAATCTTGGGTAGTGAAAACTCCAAGATAGAACTTGTGGATTCAGATTATTCGTGGTGTTTCGACATTGGATTCGTATTTAATCGTAAGCTTTCTTTTTCATTTTATCTATGATGATGATGGCTTTGATTGATATGTATTTCGTTGTTAAATCTATTATGAGTAGCTAAATTCGTTAACTAGGGCTAGGAGATAATTGTTCCGGTTCAATTTCGTTTGTGTGTATGTTGGTTTCTCAATCTATTCGAGTTGTGCTAAACCTAGGGTTAGATGATTGATCACCATCCTAATCTATTTAATCGATTTTAGAACCGAAAGGGGAGGAATCGATCGATCTTGGCTCGTTTAGAATAGACTTGTTCGGAAACGTATTGTCTATGTGTTAATTGATTCGATGATTGTTCGTTTATGTTTAATTCTCTTGTTATGTGAGTTATTGAGAATGAACCTCTTGATGAATTAGTGTTTCGAGTCATTTATCCGAGTAATTGATTGCTTGTCAAATGTATTGAGAATCGGAAACGATTGTTCCTGACACCCTAGTCCCTTTACCACTATTTGAATCGTGTTTGAAGTTGAGTAATTGAATTACCTTGTTGGAGAATCATTGGTAGTTAATCTCGTAGTTGATAATTGAAAACTCAAATCATTGAATTAGAGTGTTTAAGATCATTTTCTTTTTCTGTGACTGAATATTTGCATAATTTAATCCGGTCAACCTTCCTTGAGAAACGACCCGGTGTTCAAATCTTCCGATTCTACTCCGATAAAAATTACTACAACATCTGTTTTGTTATTTTATGCTTGTTGTACTGTTATTGTTATTTCATGGATCATCATGTTTTTTCTTCTTAATAAGTAGGCATATTTGTAAGGTTTACCATATCCTTTTTTGTCTTTATATTTGATCCCGGATTGGATCAAAAGGACTTTCCAGTCGAAGACCTTTGTGTCCGTAAATATTTATGATCGTTGGTTCATCAAACCTAAATTTTATTCATATAAACTTCCTCACCGACATCGTTTTAAGCATAAAAAAAGAAACGGAAAGAAAGTGTGCGAAGCCAACTTGCTATTGACTCAGCTGCTCGAGAAGAAGCCCTTTTTACGTAGGGTGAGTTGTGTGCTATTGTTACATTTTTTGTTTTGGTGTGAGTTGAAGTGATGTGGTGTGGCTTTGTTGTGCTCTTGTCATTGATTTGTAAAGTGGTTGTTTTCTACGTTGTGTTATTGACATTGATTTGTAAAGTGACATTGATTTAGTGATATATTGGGTTGATGTTGTTGTGTATTGTATTATAAAATTATAAATTAGTTAGATGGAAATAAAATATTACACATTATATGTATGTATTATATTTTAATAATAAATTAAATAATGAGTACACAAATTTTAAAATAAAATATTATACATTATATTTATGTATTATATTTTAATTATAAATTAAATAATGTGTATACAAATTTTAAAATTTTGACCATTAATAAAAATGAATCGATATTTTTTAGGCTATGTAGGATTTGGCACCCAACTCTACACACTAGGGGAATAGGTCCCCATTTGTGATTCATGTAATGGAAAAAACAAAATTAGTGAAAATGGTATTTAATAAATAATCGACCATATAAAATACATAAATATATTATAAATCTATATCTATATATATATAATAAGAATTAACATTTACCAAAAATAGTAGCAAAAAAATAGTTCAAAATTTAATGCAGCCTATAAATAGTAAGTTTCATTATTTTTCTTATTTTTTCTTTAAAAATCATACAACATTAAATGCTACCTTAAATTTCGGGCTTTAATTCATTTTATTATTTAAATTCGGCAAAGATTTATTAAGTGTGTAAGTTTTTATTTTTATTTTTTTCTTAGAAATAATGAACAACATTAAAATCTCGGTTTTTATATTTATAAAATCTCAATTCAAAATATAACAAAAATTTTAAAATCTCAGTCTTTATATTTGTACCTTTAAAAAAAATATTGAACGCTAAAAATATTCTTTAAATTGAATAATCAATCAATTAATCTTAATTTTTTGAAAATTACTATGTTTATTTTGTATTAATATGCATAAAGTAAAAATAATTTATTCATCTTTAGATATATAATTTATAATCTTAATATACTATCATTTGGTGTAGACATTTATTATATGAATCATAAAATATTTTTATTTCTAAAATTAAAAATATGTAAAGAAAATAAGAAAATTTCTTCGGATCAATCGGGTGATTGAACTAGGGTACTGCCCAGGTTGATTGAATTACTTTTAGGTGATATTTAAAATAGTCAAAAAAACTTGACACAACTTGGTTGGTCCCAGGTGACTAAGTTATGTATTTGTTCGACCACACAAAATTGATTATTGAACCTAAATATAAATTTTATATTAAAAATATTTTATTACATGAATGTGATGTAGTCCAAACTTCAAATAATCGTATTAACAATACTTTTATTACGACATGTTTAATGATTTATGAATATTTAGATATCATTTTATTAATATTTATGTGAATTAAATAATATTTTATTATAATATTTATCAATATACAGTAAATATAAGGTTTTCAGAACTGGACCGTCATCAAAACGATCAAATTATTTTATTAAATCACTTGTGGTTTGTCCATATTTTAATTTATAAACATTTTAATATATATATATAGTACTTTTTATAATAAATTTAAATAAATGTGTTACTTAGATATCTAAACAATTTATAAATTCAAATGTTTAAACTAATTGATAAATAATTTATAAATCTTTATTTTATTTAAATATGTAATTTTATTTAAAATAATTTTAAATATAACAAAATTTATTTAGAAAATCGATCCTACCAGTCCAACCGACTGGTGTTGAAGGATTCAAGAGCAAATATTTTATTCCAGCAAACTAGACTGGTTATAAACCGGTTCTCGGTCCATCCGGTCGGACTGTGTCCAACCCGGTCTAATTTAAAAACAGTGGATAAATCATAATTAATGTTATTTATATATTTAATTTATAATACAATCGTAATATTGTTTTTTCGTGCATCGCACGGGCCACGCACTAGTTATATATAATGGTTGATATATTAATACATAAATATATTATAAATTATATATAATGGTTGATATATTTCTCCCACATGCCATTTTTTTTTTCTTATCTGCATAAACTATTTTTATTTATTTTTAATTATTCAGAGCATTACAATTGTTGGATATATTCCAATTTATAGGCTCTATACAAGAATAAAACCTCAGTACAAAATGGACCTTCTGAAAGCTCGAGAATCAGATAGTGCACGAGTAGAGTGAAATTTCGCCGGAAACCTCATGCGAAGCTACAAATCCGTAATGCTAATCCGGCGGCTTTTGTGTCTCAAGAATTCCGGCCATGGCTACCGACGCCTATCCCTTCTGTCGAGCACTCCCATCAACAACACTGATGATTTAGTCAGTTCTCAAACTCAATTTTTTGTTTACCATTTTTTCTTAGTTGATAGAGGATTAGTTTCACTTTTGATCGATTCTCAGGTAGTTGTCGAGGGTAAAGCGAGCTCAAGAACAGCTATTCTCAACAGACCTTCATCGCTCAACGCTCTAAACACATCCATGGTAAGTTTCATTAATTTGCTCACCCTGGGATTAAATTGTGTGTTTGATGTTTCGTAGGATTTTGATTGGTTCTATATGGAAGAGCCGTGCTAACACTACCGGTTTGATTTACGTATTGAGATAAAAAAATATGTGTAACAAGCGTCTATTACTTCTTCTCATTATAATATTGCAAAAATCAACAGTCCAGAATTTTTAACATTTAATCTGGTAATCCGGTTGGTACTAATCTGGCAAAGTAGACTAAATCCTACTCGGAAAGATGTTATGGGTCATGCTCTTTTGATGCAATGTAGGTTGCTAGGCTTCAGAAATTGTACAAGAATTGGGAAGATGATCCTGATATTGGGTTTGTAGTGTTGAAGGTACTTTTCATTTCATATTGTCGAGGAGAAAAAGAAAATTTGCGACATGTACTATATGGGTCTTTTGTCTTTGCAACTTATAGTAATTTTTTTGGTAAACTGCAATCCGAACTTCATGAACATTCATAATTGGTTGTGCATCTTGACCATAGACGTGTGTGGTTTTGCGGATAATTGTATGATCAAGATGTACCAAAATTTGCAAATTTTGTTTGTTCATGAAGTTCAGGTTGCATGTGACCAAGAAAAATTGTTTATGTTGCAAATGTCCAAAAATCTACATAGTACATGTTGTTTATTCTCTTTTTCCCGTCCCGGAGGTTGGACATTCACAAATCACTTCTATCTATGCTTTATTTTTGGATTTTTCCCATCCCGGAGTATGGTCATTCACAAATCACTTCTATCCATGCTTCATTTTTTGCCCCTTCCCACTTTTCTGGAAGCTTGTTACCGTGAGTTATGTAGGTATTTGTACAAGGTAAAGTAGCATAAATTTGGTTCAAATTCTTGAAGGGTGGGGGCAGGGCGTTTGCGGCTGGTGGAGATATTGTTACTCTTTATAATCTGATAAATAAAGGTAATATCAGAACTCTCTCTCTCTCTCTCTCTCTCTCTCTCTCTCTCTCTCTCTCTCGCATAATACGCATGCTGATATGTCAAACTTTATCGACAACAAGAATATGAATATAACACAGTGTAGGAAGCTCTTCACACTTTTTTTCAACGTTTTTTCACATGAGGTGCATTTTGAGTGTTGTTTTTCACCTTATGACCATTATTAGAGCATTGAATCTTACTTTCTCTATCCTGCTGATGAAAATTGAAAAGGCTCTCTTCATTTTATGCAGGGAATCTGGAAGCATGCAAAGAATTCTTCCACACAATATATAGTTTTATATATTTTCTTGGTACTTATTTGAAGCCACACGTGAGTAGCTTTTGTTTACCTGCTTGTGATTGGAGTGCGCGTGTGCAAATACTAAAGTAGAACCTGTTTCCTTTATCCTTCCCGGAACATTAGTTAGAATATTATGAACATTTCAGATCTTCTTTTGCTGCAAGAAAATTCATTCACTGTCTCACAGGATTGTCCTTGCTGTTACTTTCTCTTGGCATCCTTTTGCTCAGTCATGCTATATAATGTATTTACCGAACATAGTTGTAGTAGCTGGGATACGTCTTTGAGTTTACACCCCTTGTGTATGTTGGCTCCTTAATGAACCATTCTCTTAGGATGAGTCATATTTCAAATATCAAAAGTTACATCCATATTTCACTGTCTGGCTTATTAGCATTATTGTTATAATGTTAATGATCACGTATGATGGGTGCTACGAATTTATACTCCATGCAGGTGGCTCTCTTAAGTGGGATTACTATGGGTGGTGGGGCTGGAATCTCCATCCCAGGCACATTTCGGGTTGCAACTGATAAAACTGTATGTGAGGACATGAATGTTAAATGATTTTCCTTTCTTTTCATCATTTTAAATCTTTAAAGATATTCCCATGATGAAGTTTGAGCTAGTTTATGGTACCTTTTGCTGTTATTATCCTAATCTTTCTCTGGAAATTGGACCAAGACTGATTTCAGTTATTGCAGATTTTTGCCACACCTGAGACATTGATTGGTTTTCATCCAGATGCAGGAGCATCCTTCTACCTCTCCCACCTTCCTGGTTATTTGGGTAAATTCTGTGTATAAACATGTTGTTTCACTCTATGCGCCAATTTGAAAGATTCGCTTTGCTTTGTTTTGCGAGTCCCTTTTATTTCATATCTAAATTTTTTGACTCGGGTGGCTGCTAATTACACCGATATCTACTGCCAATCTCCAGGAGAGTACTTGGCTTTGACCGGGGAAAAACTGAATGGGGCTGAAATGCTATCATGTGGGCTTGCAACTCACTTTTCTCATATCACGGTCCTTCAGACTAATCATTTTATTTCCTATTGTCTTTTCTTCTTTAAAAATAAATTTTCCTGATTTTTTTTTATTTATTTATGTTTAGTTTTTATTTTTATGCAGAAACTCCCTTTGGTTGAAGAACAACTGGGAAACTTGGTGACTGATGATCCTTCTGTTATTGAAACTTCTTTGGGAAACCAAGGAGATAGTGTCCATCCAGATCAGACTAGTGTTATTCAAAGGTAACTTTTTGTCTGACTATTTCTATTAAGTTAAATCTCACTGGAAGATTCTAATTTTCACCATGAGTAGGCATATGCCAACTGCTCTTATGTAGTACCCTTCAAATAATATTTGCGTTTTATCAGATATTTTCCTTGAAATTGCTGCTAGCTTTCTGCTTGACGATCTTTGATTGTTCTCTTGAAAGCAATTGATTAGTTCAAAGATTGATGTGTGCACTGACTGCTTGTGCGTTTTCTGGGTTGTAATCATTGAAGTTAATATTTTCTGTCACATTCTGATAGGATTGAAAAAATTGATCAATGTTTCAGCCGAGATACAGTTGAAGAAATTATTGAATCATTGGTAAGCATGCAATAACTACTATTATTTTTGCATTTCACTGCTTTTGGAGAACGTCTGTGAATCATCCATCTTGAATATCCTCTGAAAGTTCTATTTGGAAAATTTTGCATTTCACTGCTTTTGGAGAACGTCTGTGAATCATCCATCTTGAATATCCTCTGAAAGTTCTATTTGGAAAATGGTTAGCGCATTTATAATTTCTGAATTATTCTGAAAATAGATTACTATTTCTTTTCGTGGTAGATTCCGAGGAGTCCTAGAATTGTTAATATAGTATTTCAAATGGCATATTCCAGATTTCAGTCGTGACTATATTTTGTGAGTTAGGAAAATGAAGCATCCAAAACAAATGACATTTGGTGCCAGACGACATTGAAGAAACTTAAAGAAGCTGCACCATTGAGCTTGAAAGTTACTTTAAAATCTGTGAGTCCCTTACAAACATTTTATTAAATCCTTGTTTTCTAGTATTCAATTTATTTTTGGCTTTTGGCTTACTTTGAAGTAAATCCTGGTTCAGATACGAGAAGGTAGGTTTCAAACTCTGGATCAGTGCCTTGCCCGTGAGTATAGAATGTCCCTACAAGGAATATCTGGGCAGATCACTCGTGATTTTTGCGAGGTATAATTTTATTTTTCCTTTTTCTATTGTTTTTTCTTGTACTTTTCACAAGTACAACTACTTCTTTCCTCGCGAACCTACTCATAATCTATTTTTGTTAGGGTGTTCGAGCAAAGCTGGTCGATAAAGATTTCAAACCCAAGGTACAAACTCTCTGACTTCTTCATGATCAAGTTGTATACAT